CAGCTCTTCCCAGCTCCCCGGCAACTCTTCTTCAGACATGAAGAACGGGCTAAAATAACACCGGTGACTGGGGTGAACGGGAAGGTTCCCCCGTCACACTCACAGTTCACTCGCCTCTTCGTGTCGTTGTCCCCCGGCCAGGAGGTGGTACGGCCCTTCCTGCAGGTGCTATCGCCGTTGGCGCGGGGCAATCGCGTCATTTCCTCGGGGACGGGGTGGGTCAGGCGCTGCCGTGGGCAGGTGATAATAGTCTGCCCTTCGGACGATCTGCGGCGGTGGGGCTCCCGGCGGGGCGGACGGGGGGAGCCGGGCCGTGCTTCCCCCTTGGCTGGGTTTTAGCGACGCCGGCGGGGAGGGAGGGGGAAGGGGAGGGGGCACCGGTAATGCAGTGTGGGCTGCCTGCCGGAAAAGATGATTTAATATAGGACACGAAATTACATGCTCCAGCTTCAGGCGCTTTCAAGGTGACTTTGTTAAGGAAACCTTCGATGCGTACTGCCGGGGAGTGCAGTGAACGGAGAGAGAACGAGAGCCCAGACCAGTTCATAACCGTTTTTAATATTACACGTGGGAGAAGTTAAGACATTAGCTTTCTACTGTTTTGTCACATTTTGTAAATGATAATTTGTCACAGTTGCACATTGGTAATACAGCAGAAACAGTTTCACAGTAAAACATTGGTAATACAGCAGAAACAGTTTCACAGTAAAACATTAAAATAATACAAATAGTGATACCTAAAACCACAGGAGTTTTTTCCCCTCAATGCATTCACTGCATGTGTGTGTCCACTGTATATGATAAAGGCCTGGTAGCCTTAAGCATAAATCCAGCTGTCAGAATAAAATGACACTTGAAAAGTATCTCCCCTTTAACTTAAGGTTTTGAAAGATAGGTACTACAGGTTAGGCTTGTAGTGTACCTAAAAATCACAGTGTTTACAGTAGCAGACCTTTTAATTTCACATGCATAACATGGAGGGAAAAAAGGCATTTAGACTCGTTTTATTGAAATCAGAATTATGCCACCTAATGCTCAAATCACATTTAAGCAATTATTACCAGACTTCAAAAGTATCAGTTTTGTTGAAAACATGTTAAAAGTATGTGCACACATTTCATTTACAGTCTGTTCTATAGACAATTTCAGAAAAATCTATACACTTCTGCCTGCAACCTTGTTAAACTCTGCACCTAAGTTTTTCTCTCAAGTAGAAAGGGCTCCTCACATGTATCTATAACCTAAGAGCTCGACTTATCCCTTCTTTTAAAAATGATTGCTTTTTTGAGGGCAGGAGAGAGGTGAAGAATGTTAATGGCAGTTTTCTGTTTTCTCACACTCCCTGGTTAATCTGGAAGAGTGACTGCACCCTGTTCTTGTTTTGCTCAGTTTACGGCCCATATGAACTGTTAAACAAACAAAATTGCTAATTAGAAGAGATCCACAATCATCCTTCAATATGCAGATCTGGGGTTTGGTGAAGGACACACACACAGGAAGAGCCCAATGCTCATGAAAATCTAGGCTGTCCCATAGGCTTGGCTGCAAGTAGGTTTTGATTCCACTGCTTGAGGCAGTCTTGGCTTCATTAAATGTGTTTACATGCTTTCTTGAATTGGGACTTTTGTGTAGTGATTGTCTTACCAGGCACAGTTGCTACAAATTCCACGTAAGAAAGCTCCCTTTTGAATTTAATCACCAGTGCTGTAATTCCTAACTATATAGAAGTTAATAGGGAAGGAAGAAGCTCTTAAACTTTACTTTTTTTTTTTTTAACAGTATCACAAACAATTATAAGGCCAAAATACACAATATTAAATAGAAAAATCTAAAATTAAGTTGCTGGTATTCGGTGAAAAAAACCGAGGTATACAAAATATTTTTACAATTGTGCGTAAATTTGCAGTAGTTTCAAAAGGTGCTTTTCCATTTTCAGCTAGTGGTTCGTTGTCCAAGTGATCTTCATGTCTACAAGTAACTGTGTAATTGTGAACAATTAAAAAATACAATGCATTCAATAGCTAATGGTTCTTCAGAACTATTTTTTTTAAAAAAACCCATTACATTTATTGTAACAGCAGTAATGTAGTAAAATAAGACTATACCCAAAGCAACTCATAATCTTCAGTTCATACATCATTTTTACTGTTAAAAGTGAAAAGTGACTTAATTTTCCAGTTTACTTCGGATGTTGACATATAAAAAGCACACTGAGCATTAGACCGGACTTCAGAAATTGTCAGGACTTATCCTGGAGAAAATAAGATGTAAAACAGAAAAAAAAAAAAAGGCAGTGCCAAGTATTTTTTCTCCTGCCACATCCTACTGGCAACTGATAAAAGCACACGAAGATAATGTTAGTACACTGGACTTCAAAAAAAAAGAATTTTAAAGTTACAAGACTAGAGAGCTTTTGGCTGAGCATTTCCCTGAGTCTTCATTTTTTACAATCATACACTAGCCATTATGGCCATATAAGCTGTTAAAAAGGGCTTGATTAATAGAGGCTGTTTAGCAGCATATGCAAAGTTAGCTACCTCTATTCTTAAAAAGCCTAAGCTAGAACTGCTGAGGAAGAAATTTGATTCTTCAGAATCTGGTATTTTTCCTAAGGAGAAAAGCAAACTTCACATACTTTTGCATTAAGACTTTGATAATTTGAAATTACACCACACGATTCACAATTTGTGAACAAGTCTAACAGGGATATCTTCCAGGGCAAGACAAACGAAAAACTCTGGGACTGCTACATAGTTAAAACAACTTCGTTTTTTGTAATATTTTATGAGAAAATAGAAGGCACAACTGTGCATCAAAACCATGTGATTTTGTATTTTAATCTGCTTACATTGTTTTCATCAGCATATCGGACTTTCTCTAAGTCTTTGCTATAAAGATGTGTTTTAGTAACAGTAATTAGTTAGCGGTAATAAGCTTTCTGTATTACCTAAATGTAGTAAGACTATTAGCAAGAAGACATCTTTGAAAAAGGTACATTCAACAACAGATGAACTGATGTCCATCCACTAGAAATTCACCATTCTAGCTCTACAGGATACTCTCCAGTGAGACATGCTATGCAATGACCGATCTTTCCAACACGCGACTTCTGGGTTTTAAGGCTGTTCTCATTCTCTTGTCTTGCTTTGATGCTTTCTTGCACGGACGATACCAGCCCTTCCACAGAAAGATAGACAACACTGTCTGCTCCTAGAGGAAATAAAGAATTCATCAGTTAAAGCTGCAATATTGTACCAAATGCAATGGTCTTTGGAAATGCAGTCGCGTTACTGTATGGATTACGATGCCAGGTGGATCTAAAGGGAATGGATGTGAAAAATTATCAGACCATAATAATCCTTGCCTTTCTCAAATTCTTTGTGCAGGGAGCAGACTCACTGAAATCTAGACAGAAGGTTCTGAGTTGGGAACAAATAATGTCACACATACTGAAAAAATAGAAACAAAGTCCACAGCATGTATTAAGAATGCCTAAACTCCCTATAGATTCACAGAGTTACCCTGTAGTTCAGGTCTGGAAGCAGACGTGTGCCTGGCTCATGCTTCCCAAACTGAGCACCTAGGGCTACAAACCCTTACTGGGACTTGGAGGAGTGGAAGACCATCATGTTAAAAAAAAGTCAGTGTGCAGTTCATGCAAATATTCCAGCAGTAGGAAAGTTTGATAGCCTTTTCTCATCATTAGTCTTCTATCGTTTGCACTCATTACTTTGTGAATAATAACTGAAAAAGGAGATCCTACAAACTTGAAATATGTCAACATGCCTTCACAATATTGGGGAAAATAATTCATTGCAGTATTAGACAGTGAGAGTATTTAACACAGGAAATCCAAGTTTACAGTTTTCCAACTGTAACCACAGCTATGTTTTTAAATAATTTTTAAAAATATTTTGCAGCCCAACAGGCCATATATAGTAGCTGTCCTCACTCACAAGCCTTCACATTACTTCTGTTGCTGATATCCTGATGAAGAGCACGTTATTTACCACATCACAAGCAACATAAGCTGTTGGTTCTTTTGTTCTGCTGCAAACATGACTCATTCTAGAGATCTGAGAATGTATTTAACATTCTTTGATTAGTTTCAAATGCCATTTCTTTCAAAGTGAAACATATAATGCAGTTAAAATTTACATAAATTTAAATTTGTAGAAAAATCAGTGGGTGTTTACAAATTCCAAACATATTTTTATGAATATCTCATGAAAGTGAAACTACATTAGCTTTTCATTATAGGACAGATATTCACCACTTATTTTCTTCCTGGTATTTTGCCTACAGTAGCTTGTTGTTGTAAAGGTTCCCAGAAGGAGCTTTAAGAATTGGCAAGCTTTGTTGTCACACCTTATTTGTAACTTATGATTATGCAATTATTCTAATGCTTCCTATTGTTTGGAGAAATATAATTCACTAACTGTGTTTAAAAAGTGTTGCAACAAAATCGGTTTGATCTGTAGGGTACTCACAATGCAGAGATTTACTGTAGCAACCTTACAATTTTTTCGTCATTTTTGCTACTGTTGCCTTGATGTGTTGTGCTTTATTTTGATGTAGACAATGAAATACCTACAGGTGAAAACTATCTCTCAAAAAAAAAAAAAAAAGAAAAAAAGGAAGAGTAGCATTTACCTATATAGTTTGCAAGATCATGAAATTCAGGTCTGTTGGCAATGAGTTCTTCTTTAGTTGGAATGTTTATTCCCATGTAACAAGGAAATCTTATGGGAGGTGAAGCCACACGGATGTGCACCTGAATAAAAACAGTTTCAAAACAGACTGCTATAAGGTGAAGGTCAGCAGATCATAACACAATAGCAAAGTCCCAGTTCTGCAAAATAATCGTGAAGAACAGAACACAGAACTGCACAGAAGTCACAGAAGGGTTAAAAGTAAGATAAAGGTTTTTTCAGATGGTAACACAGCAGGAGAGAGAAAGCCAGTTTTAGAATTTATTTTTACAGTATTTTCTAATGTTATTAAAAGGTTCCATCCTGATTTTGCTTTTCTTCTGTGGTGTTCAATTCTTGATGCACATGTTTCAGTTTATAAAGTCAAATATTATACAGAACATTTTTGCTCCAGTTACAGACTTGCACACTCCATTTCAATTAAAAAATCTTAATTAAAAAAATTGTGCTCTGGTGACTTAAGGCACATGCTATTTACTGCAGTATGTAGTTGTACTTAATGCAGTACCAGAAGCCATGCCTGTCAGGAATACCATACCAATTCTTGATTTTCTGATCTTAACTAATTTGTTTTCCATCCTCTGTTTGCCAGATAGTGCTTTATAAACGGAGACCTGTTCCTCTTCCCTTAATCACCCAAAAATCACAGTCATACAAAAGAAACTTCTTAACCTATCTTCACAATAAACACGCACTGGCCATCGTTTTTTTGCACACTTGCCTTTTTAAATAAGGAAACAATGTGTAGTACAAGTGAAGACAAACCCCTGTGCTTTACCCTCCCATCAATCTTCTATTTACATCTGTATTGTACTGACTGAAAACTAACTTACCTCTTTGGCTCCTGATTCTCTCAGTAGTTTTATTATGGGTGAAATGGTATTGCCCCTCACAATTGAATCATCAATGATAACAACTCGCTTGCCTTTAAAATTATCAGACAGAACGCCAAACTTCTTTGCAACACCAAGTTGCCGTAACCTCATATTTGGCTGGATAAACGTTCTTCCTACATATCGATTTTTACAGAGTACTTCAACATACGGTAGTCCGCACTGTAAACAGGAGAGAGTTAAACAGAATTAATATCTAAAGAACCGGTTATTCTCAGTTACTGGTTTTTTTAAAGCAGCCCTAGGACTTAGTATGACTTCACAATAACCAAAAAACTTTGAAATACCTTAATATAGTGGAATAATGACAGAAAATACAAGTGCAGATGACTCAACAGGCGTACCCGGCCTCCTCAAGATACAAAGCTTTATCAGTATAAAACTAACAGCCCGTACCATTATACTCCATTACAAAAGGAGATACGTGTAAATATGCATGGGGAAAAAAAAGGCAAGTTAACATATACCTTTTGAGCATAACCAAGAGCTGCTGGGGTTGCAGACTCTGGAACGGTGCTGACCAGGTCTGCTTCCACAGGTGCTTCAATAGCAAGCTGCTGCCCACATCTTCTCCTGACTGAATACACCATCTGACCTAAGAACAGCAAGAAATGTTTTTCCTGGAATGCATAATTCAGATTTCCTCTCAGTTTGCTGTACGAATTTCTGTGGCAAGTTGCATGAATAGAAGGCAGTGAGAAAAGCTCCAGAACTAATAAGCAGTCACTCACATAAGGTTATTTTTTATTTCCTTCCATAATGTCATATTCTAACATTCACATTCGTATTGCTACATAGAGAATTAAAATTCAGTTTGCCCACTAAAGGTCCTGTGGATGTTACAAAATCTATTTACAGGAGGAAAGAAGTAGAAATTATGCCTGCCTGTTCATAACGTGCATATTCTATTTTAAGGCTGGTTTCTCCAGCAGACAAAGTTTGTGCAATCCTGCTGTCTGCCTCTGCCAGCTTATTAACTTCAAATCAGTTGTCAAAATTCACCCCAAATTTAGTAAGGGGCTAAGAGGCATCAGAAGCTTTTAGGCTCCTAAAAAATTTGCAATATGGTAGAGAACTGGAGGTATTGTGATGAGATGAAGCACAGCAAAGGGTACAGCAGCAGTACTAAGGAATGTAAAAAGTGAGGATATTGAAGGGTAAGAGGATCATGAAAAAAAGGGATGTGGGGTGAAACTGGCTTTATAAGGGTGAGGAACTGTATTGGATCAACAGATGGCATGTCCATAGAAAGCAAAGAAGAGCTTGTTTGTTAGGTATGAGAGTCCTCGCTAATACCTTGTCACTGACACAATTTTTGAGGGCTTCTACTGAAATAATAACGTTACTGCCAACCCCAAGTACTTAGATAATGCATAGATTTACAAGTTCTGTTAAGAGCATCTTCCTTAAATAACCCTTTCTTGCAAAGAAAATGCCAAAATAAAGTTGTTTTGCAGATCCTATTTCATAAGTCTAATTTTTAAAAAGTTTTCCAAGAACCAATAAAGTTCCTTTCTTAAGTCTCTCACTTTTAAGGGATATTTCCTCTGCCGTAATCATGTTTGTGGCTCTTTTCATCCCTTCCATAGGACTATGCAGGCAACCTGACTGAGGCCATATGCATAGCCAGGAACAGGAAAGTGATGTTACATGCTCCTCCTGATGAGTTTTATCTTCTCAAGAACTGTGCCAACCCATTCTGTCCCAGCCCTGCTCAGCAAGCTCACATTCAGTGGTACCCTACTATGATCCCAGATCCTTTCTAGAGTCATTGTTCTCTAGGATAACATCTCCCACTACTTAGGAAGAAGCTTTGTACGTTACAACTTCTTACCTTCAAAAATACTGTCTGGTCTTGCAAAATAAACATATTCAAAGATGCAGAATGCTGATGGATCTCCTTCAGGTCTTGGTACAACATCCAGTGTCTGGACATCGTATCTGGATATTTTAACAATCTCTCCAGGAAGGACCTCACGATAGTACCTTGAAAGAGAAATACATAGCATTTAGAAATGTCCTGAACCTGGATGATAGTTTTGAAATATACGTGAGATTCAACTGATGGGAAAAAATGGTTTTGAACATCTTAACACGACAATTTGCTTTTATCTTAAAACACCTGGAGTGTTTTAAGACCAACATGCTAAGACAAGCAACCCTTACTAAAAGTCTGAATTACTACCCAAAAGTAGTATATTAATACTTAGTACCAGAGAATTGTGGTATTCTTCCTATATATAAGATGTACAGTAGTCAGTCTAGTACAGGCTTAATTGAGATTAAATGTATTTTAACAATTTACTCCTGGATCAATACTAGAAGACTTTTCTATGAAAGCTAATAAACATTATAATGCAATATAAAAAACATAATCAAGAATAAAGAAGGTAGGAAAAAAAATCCTACCCCTTAAACCAGTATCTAGAGAAATATCTGTCTAGTGGTGACCGGCAGCTACCCCCGAATGACATAAAGCTGACTGGAAATGTACATTCCAATTCTCATATATGAAGAAATATGGAACAGTATTAGGTTTATTATGTTACAATGTTTAACTATATTAAACATTTTTCTAGATGCTTTAGTGAGTCCTCAGGTGGCTGTTCTAACAATTTCAATCTAAATCTATCCAATATAATGAAATAGTCAGGAGATATAAATCAGAGGTGAGCAAATCTGTGATCATTTGCTGGTCAGACATTAGCATTAGGAGGCAGCAGCACTGGCTAGAGCAGAAGTTTAGACAAAATTGCTTTTTTAAAAACCCACAGGCTTCAGCTGATGGTCCTCCATGATAAGCTTCTCTTAACAGAGATTTTGAAGAAGTTTCAGAAAACGGTTATTCTTATCCATATGTAGAATAAATTGTCCCAAGAAAGCCCCTGTTACCAACAGCTAATAGTTCCTACAAAGACAGGGTAAAAGTTACAGCAAAAGAACACAGACCACCACACCTACAATAAAACACTGAAGAATGGAATAAAAGACCTCTAAAGTGCAGTCACGTTGCTTCCTGATTTTGCTTTACATTTCTTTTTATTCAGTAGTTGTGTTCTTAATGCAGTTTTTCACAATTTTTTATTTGAAGAGGATCCAACTTTACTTACTAGTCTAGTCCTCAAATGCACACTTTTATAATGTCTGATTAGGAAATTAAAGATGCTTCCTTATAGTCTTTCTTACTTTAATTACATTGTAGTTCACAATTGCCTTCCACTCCAAAGTTCTAAAGATCAATTTGTGATCTCCTGAAGAGCCTCTTACCATTCTCTTTTTGTCCAGAGAAAGTATCATACCTTTCTTTTCAGAGTATCTTAGCTAGAAAGGTAATGTGAATGTCATCTCCTGTTTTGGCTCTGATGGGTGTTTGCATGCATGGAAATAGTTTCAAGTACCCATCATTTTTTTCAAACGAGGAGGCTGGCTTGTCAGACAGCATATGCTACAGCTCAGGTTAGTCCAGCCTGTGAGCTACCAATGTAACTTTTCTGTAGTTGAAGAATTATTTTGTAATACAATGATTCTGCTGGAAACGAGGCTAAAATTAAAAAGTTATATGGATAACCAGGTTTAATGCAACAAGTAAGAGGCATTTACTTTGCAACAGTAAAGTTGTCTTTACTGTTACTTTCTGAACACATTATTCTTCTTTTACATTAATCTGGTCAAGAAAATAAACTGACAAGAAACAGGGCTGGCAAAAAAAAAACCCTCCAAACAGCCCAACAAACTAATCCTTGATGTCTTTCATGTTGTTATAGATTATGATATTTGGCAATTTGAGGTTTAATGTTTAATCGCTGCCTGAGGAGAGCTTTCAGATAAAGTGAGAATCGGGGCACTTACTCTGCACCGATAGACAAAAAGCTACAGGATTCAGAAGAGACTACCCATCCTTCTGTTTCACTGTTATCTTTTCCTGAAATGAAAGATCTCAGTTAGAGTCCACAATTCTTTTTACCATTACCCCCCACAATTGCATTTCTACTGCAGCATCTGTCTTGCTATGGTTTACGTTGCCAAGTGCACAATTACAGACTGTTGTAATTTCTAACTAAAAGGTATAGCATTCCAAAGTTTCTGTAATATAATTTTAAAAACCAAAATAATAATGTAAACATCATCAACCTGTTCTAGGCAGAAGTGGAAGTAGCATCATCATATTCACAGTTCATGAAGAAGGACAATTCCGGTAACTACCTTTGTTTTCTCTGTAGTATTTCAAACTTTTCTAATTCTAGTTCAGTGACTTTAGTTATACATAATTACTTTTGTTCACACAAGAAACTCCTTACTTTTCCTATGCTAAATGTGTTGATAGGTAAATCCTTTTGATTACAATGGATGCTGGATTGAACTCCAATAAGGAGAGTTTTCAGAGACAGGCACAGGAAAGATCGAATTGTGTAACACAGGGCAGGAATGTTTGTATGCTTTAAAAAAATCTTGATAATTTTTCTTGCGGTTAAAATTACCAAGTTTTGTGAAGATATGGAAGCATTTACTCCTTTGCCTTTGAATTATTTTATTCTTATACAAATGAACAGATTTTAATCTCACTTCATGGAAAATGCTGATTTGCAGGCTAAACAGGAACATAAATTGATTGTATAGTGTTCCATTACCACACTATGTGCGACTGGGAGTGCTTGCAAGTCTGCCAGTACTTTGCTAGTAATCCAGCGCCTTTTTGGCCACCTTACTACAGAAGAAAGGAAGAAACCAGACTTATTTCTGGACTGGACATCGTCCTGAGCAACTGGCTGTAAGTGGCCCTGCTTGAGCAGGGGGGTTGGACCAGATGGCCTCCAGAGGTGCCTTCCAACCTCAGCCAGTCTGTGATTCTGTTCATCCCTGCTTTCCTGTTTATGTGATGAGATGTTAATTAAATTTTCAGAAATATTCTATTACACTTGGGCTGCCTAATTCTGACACTGTCATCAGGTGACTAGGATTCCCTTTTGCTGGGAACAGAAAAGATGTTTACAGACTTCCTACCAATGATTTTTTCCTCACCAACATTTTTTTTTGTTTCGAATTTTCAAAACTGACTTTTGTATCACATATTCCTACTTACACCTCAGTAAGTGTAGCTTTAATTACTTAGATCAGTGATTTCAGGCACAAACTATAGATATACATATATATAGTTGTATATGTATATGAATATGTATGTATGGTTTACCTTTTCCATTCATGTCCCCTACTGGAATAAGGCGACCAATGCACAGTGGGCGATTCCCATACGGATCACGTACTGCATAGATTATATCTTTATGCATAATTAGCAATGAATATGAAGTTGGAGTTTCATTCATTAAATTTTTTATTCTGAAATGAGACATAGGTCAACATAATCGTGTGTCACACAAACAGCTGTGTACATTTACAGCTGCATATCATGCTGAGATTAGATTGCTGTTCTTGATTCTGAAACCCATCCTCCTCACCTTGCTACCCAGTCGGCTGTATCGTCATTTTCTAGAGGAGGTGTGAAAGCCAGCAGCTGGGTGATCAGTTCACTGTCAGAACTAGTCGACAGCCCTACACCATGCCGCATGAGCTTTTAAGACACAAACCAAAAGTGTTACCAACATTAAAAGAAAATTCCACATAACACTGCTCAGATTTTAATCTAACAAAACCTTTGTGCAATGAACAAATGTTTTAAAACATAGCAGTGCTTCAAGTGATCAGATCATAGTAACATAGTAATTTCTTCCAACAAACCAAATATGTAAAAAGAGCTGGTACAATCATCTATGCCTGGTACTACATTTCTCCCTTTTCACCTCATTCCTTTGCTCCACATGAAACTGAAATTAATACCACCAATATTCAGGGCATAAATTCCTGTTTGGGTCATTCAATCAGTTTTGTGCTTCTGCTTGCTCTGGGAACAGAGGTAAAATACACAAGGGGAAATACGAAATTACCTACAGCAGATACAGAAAGACATAAAGGCAGAATGGTGGTTTGGGCACAAAAAAACAACATAAAAAATGAAGTGTGAAGGGAAGCAGAATGGGATTAAAGAACTGAAATAGCGCAGCTTAAAGTTTGCTAGACCTGGTCAGTCAAATTCTTCTGTCTTGGCGTATTTATGCTTCTAAAGGAGAAGAGAATCTGCAGTGTATCCAGCCAACTATTACAACCCATTCAATGCTGTATGCATTACAGCTCCTAATTTTTATCTTTAGAAATCATTTTACATCTCATGTAACTCTGCTTCTCCACTCTCCATCTACATTTCCTCACCACTGTTTCTTTCTCCCATCCATTCATACATTTGTGGCTCTGATTAAAGACGGGCTAAGTTCCCTTGGGCATGCCATATATTTGCCTCGCTTCAATGCAAGAGTATGTCCTCTTGCTTTTGGACGGAACATATCGTAGAAGAGATTTCACAATGAAACATCTGCTACATTTTAATTTGGTTCTTTAACACATACCCTTCTAGCCAAACACACTATAAAATTTGGCATTTGTTGGTTTATGTCCTGACAGTGCTCACGATTAACTTTGCAAGCCAGAAATACAAATGAAGACAATATTCCAAACCAGACATTTCATATTACAATTACCTCACCTTACTATGCCTCTCCTAACTCTAAGCATATGATTTGCTCCTTCTGTCAACCACCACAAAGGAGCAGAGCTTCAAGCCAAGCTACCTTTTGTTACAACTGAGTTCGTTTTCTCACTTGATCAATAGGAATGTGACCATCAGGCTAGAGGATTGGTGAATTATCCCCAGTGACAGTTACAAGTGCCTCCCCTCCCCAGGAATTTTCCTCCCCCCAAAATGATCTATTTTGATTATGGTGCTCTTTCACTACCCCAAGCAGTTTGGTATTAAGGAAAAGTCATAGCAAACTTGGTGCTCGTTGCTGCCTCATACTCAGAAAGAAACGATGCTAGAGCCTCCCAAAGGAGATACTAACCTTCCTCCTGAGTCGTACCGCGTTTGTTAGCTCTCCATTGTGTGCCACCGCAATCTTCCCATGAAGAGTCTCTACAACAAAAGGCTGGCAGTTCTGCAGCTCAGAAATTCCTGAGGTGGAGTACCTCGTGTGCCCAATACCGAGGTTTGAAACATACAGCTTCTTCAGGCTGTCTGCACTGAAGACGTGATTTATAAGACCCATTCCCTTTAGGAGAAAAAGAAAAAAAAGTTCTGTTTGGTTTTGTTTTCCTGGCAACTTCCTCATTTCTCCTTGTGTTTGTTTTTGGTACAGCATTAATACAAGCAACTTTAAAAGAAAGGCAAATAACTTGAAAGACATGGGAAAGAAAGCAGCTGAGTAGGTGTCATAGGGATATATCAGATCCCACTACTCCTGTTTTAAATAAAGCAATATACGGTTTTGTGCTGAGGATTTTCATGGAACAATCTATTCCCTGACTAAAAATACATCTTCTGAAAAACACTACCAAACTGTTGTGTTGTTGAAAAACATCAGAAAACAGACTGGCAGAAGACAGGCAAAGAAGAAAAAAGTTGTGAGAAGGAAAGTCTATGTAGATAATGCCTTTTACAGGTTAGCAGTATATTGGATTTACTTTTATACTGGGTCCATGATAATGTTCATTAGATTCCACTGTCATTCTTGTCAATGTCAGAATCAAAGCTTTTTTCAAGAGTTTTTATTGTTTACTTAAAACAAACTTTTCATCTAGCCAAGTTGCCTTCTATCTAAAGCAGAAATGCATCAAAACTTCTTAGTCAGCTGTCAGGAGCTTCTTTTGGCAGGAAGCACTGTGTGGAGACAATTTAGCAGCACGAATAGTCTGAAAAAACTGCACAGAGAGTAGAAATTAAGACTTGATTCCAGGCCCTCCAACAAACTCCTGCTTCTGCCGCCGCCTGTGGAAAATATTTACATCCTTCTATGCTCAGTTCCTTATCACATGTGGCAATTGTGATATACACTCTCTAGGACCTTCACAGGAGAATTCTGAAGCTGTGAATGGTTCACAACCTGTGCTGTAGGTACAAAAGAGAGTGAGATGGGACAGGAAGGAAGGAAATTGGTTGAACTGTTTTCAGAGCTTAACCAAAAAAGCTTAAAGAAAGCTCAGCTTTAGGGTATTTTCAGCTGTGACTGCTATAAAGTCAGAACACCAAGAGGCTGTGGTTGCACATGTGGTTTTAGGATACTTACTGTCATGTTAAAAAGTTACTGCCTCGAGCGGTCAAACTGGTATAGGTTTGCTTTAATGGCTCAGCAAACTATGCCAAGTCAATTATGATCTGTTGTATCACAGATGACATAAAGGTGGTCTAAAGTCTGTATCGTGTGCTCATATATGTACAGAAATGCAACCTTGCACCCTTATTTTACTCAGGCCAACTTCATCCTGACAGGAGATCTGGCAGTTCACAGGTCCAGTGTTAACGGATGTGGCCAAGTTAAGCACTGCAATAGCTTAAACAAGCAATGTTGTTTTAAACCAGATTTGGTTATACAAATACATAATCTTTTAAGTGCAATTTGAAATATTCCTCTGATTTAGATTGTCCTGGTGTGGGATGGCAAATGTGAATTACATCAGTATAAAAAAATCCCCAATAAAGATAATCTTATGTCCGTATTATACAAGGCCTTACACATGCCAGAACACAGTAATGGTCTGATAAATAGCTACTTTAATATATCAGTCTGCATATCCAAGTGTGAAACAATCAATCAGACAGTCTTTCTCCTACTGACATCACTATGTCTATACAAGAGGTTTAAGTTTTTCCACATCCTGAGCTAATACAGCTACAACAATAATGTTTTGTTATACCAATCTAGCTGAAAGGCTTTGACAAACAAATCTGGACAAGTTTTTCTGGGAGATTTTAAAACAAAGGATTAATAGCCTTTGTCAAGGGCTATTAATCCATGGTCAAAGGCTGGCAACAATCAGAAGGGAACACATACCCATGCCTTAGGTCTTCCAGTTCATACTCTAATATATGCATTGCCTAAACTGTTGACAAAGGTGAGTAAATCAATGCAGCGCGAGGCAGGCACCTTTTCCATTCTGTTGTCTCTGCTATGAAGAAGAGTCAGCCAGAGTTTGGAGGACAAACAGGTACAGCAGTATCTAACCACTGGCATTTTTATGGACTAGTTTACAAGTCACAGTCCTAAATATACTTTCATCAGTGTAACAGACCCAAATGTTTGTTACATTAGCACCAGTTCCGGGATTAAAAGTGTCATATAAATTGTACTCCATGGGCTCTTTATTACACTGTGGTTATTACAGTTTTTAAAAGGGCTGTAGCTGAGAAACGTATTTCAAGGATAAAAGAAACCATCACATGCTCTGCAACTCTTAAAATACCAAAGCTGATATGATGAGAGAGTCAATTAAATTCTTAGCATGACAGCTAACTACTGCAGCTCAGTAACATGGAAACACTACAAATTATTGTATCACCTGCTGGAAGTTCATTCTAAGCAGCACTTTTTACTACAGGATATATAGAGCAGCCGACTTTAAAGGAAACTGGAATTCCTGTAAACCTTAAGGAAAGCTGAAACCCAAGCAGGAGCAGTAATGAAGAACAGGTAACACGGTGCTGAAGTTGAGAAAAGCTGCATTTAAAAACATGCGTATGTGTGTGTGTGTGAATCAGGCTGTAAGCAACAGATAGGAGGGGGAAAATGCCTGAAGAGGTGACAAACATGATGCTTAAAGAGACAAGATTTTGCATGAGGCATTGAGCAGTCATGCATAGATATACATGCTGCTGCAGCAAAGCGGTTCTTACTCCTGGACTGATTTGAAAAGCTTAATTAATCTTCCTCAGAGACCTCTGAACATGAAGACAAACCGCTTTCTGATTGTGGTCAGAGAACACACATGAAGAATTGCCCCATGGTTATTTTGCTGATGTAGTTTTATTTCCAATCCTCTCCTCTTCTAGGATGGAATAAGCTGATGATAATTTTTTTCCTGATCCACTACTCAATACAGAACGAGCAGAAATATCCGCAGAGCATGCAGGTATTCTCCTGGCATAATATTTTCAAGGCGATGGCCATTTTGTGTCTTTTAACATCCTCTGGGATTCTCTCAGCTTGAGAAAGACTGTGTGACCTTCTCACACCTCCATTCAATCTTTATTCTGTTTATTTTTACCTATGGGTAAAGTAGCTGCCACTTCCTTGAGTCTCACTAATGCAAGAATTAGTCCTCCACTTGCTTGTGCATAGCCTGTAACTGTATTTCTTTTCTCTTGATCTCAAGCTGCATGGGTGCTCTTCCAAATCTCCAGAGTTAACACCTTAGGTGCAGGGTGACTTTGGTAAGTAGTTTTTGTGACATCAGTAGCCTGATCTGGGTACTTCTGTGTGTCTCCCAGTGTGTGCATGGATACACCCAGCAGGCTAATATTGGCATATTTGTTTTAAGCATGCACTTAAGACAGAAATTGCACAAATAACAGAATCAGATACTATCACCGACAAAACCAAAACAGTCCCTCAAAATGTTACTTTCCCTCTAATTATTCTGTTTCCTAGCTGAAACAAACTTTCATGCATTTCAGTTAGGCATCTACAAAACATTAATTTACATTTTACCTTGTGCACTTTGAATGCCTGGGATGACTCTCCATCACTTGTCACAATTCCAGCACTCTCCTGGCCCCTGTGGATAAAATAGAATTAACATAAACCACTGAAATGCTTAGAATATGAAATGCTTTAACATACAAGGTATTAGTGCTTTTTTCACCTACTCTTTACAACGTGCAATTTCAATGTAGGCTTATTTGTTCTTTTATTTTACAGTCTTGTAATTGCAACTGGTTTCTTGCCCATGTTATGCTTTATTTCAAAACAGTCACATAAGGTTTGTGCCTAAGCCCACTGAATTCAGTGGGAATCTTTCCACTAATAAGCACTGGCTCAGGCTCTTGCTGCAGTCCTGTTTCAGTGTGGGCATAAAATAACAGCAGATGCTTAATCTCAAAAGCCACTTTGCAGTGATAGTCGTCTAGGCTGTAGTAGTAGGCTCTATAGGGCTACTCCATTTCTGCTTGGGGCTGGGGGGAGGGTATTAAGTAATGGATGGTTTTGCCTAGAGGAATGCACTGTCTCTTCCACCGATCACCTACGCAGAAGCTTTTGCATTCTTGCACTTCAGCAGGCAAGCTAGCGTTTACACCTCTAAAAGCTACACGGACCCTCTGAGAAACGCGTTTGGGCACATACACCTCATATCGGCCATCACAGCTTCTGAACTCAAACAAAGCAAGCCTAGTGTACAGCGTCACTGCAAATGGAAGTACTTTTCTTACAGCAGATCAACCTCAGGCTGGCAGTTGTGCTTTGTTGAGCAGAAGAGCTGTATCAGCTGAAATGCCCGTTCCCATGCCTGCTCCCAGCTGTCCCCAGTCCCGTCTCACCGCTCGATCCCCCGGGGGGAAGCCCTGCAGGCAGGCAGAATCCCGCACAGCTGCCCAAGGTTTATAATTCAGTCCTCATCCATTGAAAAAGTATGTTTTGCAGACTGGATTTTTTGTGGGTACCACTGCAGGCTGCTCGGAATAAGGCAGAGTGGTACCTCTAACAAAACTGCTGCCATATACCTGTAACGCTCCAAAGGATGTTGGTGGACTGGTAAGCTCCCATCCACTCTCATATATAACAATGACTGAAAAGCAAAGATGTTTTCCTTAAAAAAGGAAACACTTAGAATATGTTTAGAATATTAGACGAAGATGCTATTTGTGAATTAGAATGGTTTAACTCAACTGAAGTCACTGGAATGATTTAGTATTTGCTTATTTAGTATAAGCAACAATAAATTGGGCATAAAAAATCTACGGGATGGATGCTAATCTACAACTGACCATGCTCAGTACAAATTTTCTCCACTTCCTAAAATCCCTTTATTGGTCACTAACCCCAGTTGTACGTAAAGCAAAATTTTAAAGAACAGTTGCTTACAGAAAACAAAACAAAACAAAGTTCACACATATCTGAAAGCATTTACCCTGTTATTGACACAGATCTTCAAGAGATCAGAGATGAGGACATTCTTAAACCCATTTATTGTCACACAGGAAGATGTCCCCACTATAAACACAAAGCCTGGTAGTAAAACTTAAGGGTTGACATACTGCATTCAGCAACTTTTAATTCCAATGTTAATATTACAGGCAATTTTCACTTAAATACTGACACTGTCCCTTTAAACATCACACAATCAATAGCGAGAAAGAGGGACGCAAACATCCTGAAGGAAGGCCCTGTCAAGTCGTTGGAGTGCCTCTTTCATCTAGCACTAGCAAAAGAAAAGGAAGGTCAATTTCATTATCACAAAGATTACACAGTTTTAACAATTTAGTCAGATTTTTAAGTATGCAAGCTTTTTGTGAAAACATCACTAGTAACCAATGAATATTAAGAGTTAAAGATGTGTATGTATGACCATCAATTCAAAACGAAAGACTACACAGAGGAGCAAATGTAAAGCAGGAGGATCCTATCCGCGTTACTATCGCATCAACTACTGCAAACTCACAGCTCGTTCGAAAGGCTCAGCCCCACGGTTCCCAACTGTTCCCCCCACGGGAGACCGG